CATTGGTGCCCCCTAAGCATATATAATACCCTCAACGTTGCTAGTAAGAGGTCACCTGACTGACCTGGAAGTGAAATCAAAGGTGATCAAAGACTGTAGGAGGTGGAAAATCAGGGGTGATATTTCTGGCCAGTCAAGCGTGTCCCATCCACCATAATTGTGATCTTGAAGAAATAAAGGACCAAATGACAGAGCCTGTTAAACAGTTTACTTTGTTGAAAGCAGCAAGACTTAACAATAATTTGAGAACAGCTTATAGAGATGTAGCGAAACTTTCAATGACATAGATTTCAGATCAGAGAGAATGTCTTTAAGCACCGTAACAATTATGATCAAAAGAGAAAGTTTGTGATAATCGAAGGAAAAGGCTGAACCTGATGACAGTGTTTATTTTACTGCTAGTTCTGGGTTTTACAAATTTATCGGTTATGATTTATTGCATAATGTGAAAATGAATGGTATATTTGTGAGTGCTAATGTAAAATACTTGGAAACTCTGGATAGCTCTTTGTGGAGAAGTACTTAGCAAGCAAATCCTCATTGTGGATGGAACCTTTCTCTTCTGGCAAGGGATGCCCACAAAGACTTTACTCGGTGAGGTGGCTATGTTAATGCCAGCTCTCCAGGCATTAAGCACAGGATAACAGCCTTGCCTGGAGACAGTGTTTCAGGCTACAAATTAAAACCCTTTGTTATCTGGCACTGTGAGAATACAGAAGCCTTCAAGCATAACACTGTGCACACAGCAAGGGTACTACAGGAGCAATAAGGAGTCATGGACGACCTAATTCCTTCTTCTTCTAAGTTAGTCTTCTGAATTGCTGTGCCAAAGAAATGGAGAAGTACTGTTTGGAGAATAACTTCAGTTTGATGACATGCACACAATGAAGAAATTGCCTAATGGTACAGTTCCTGGAAGTAGTCCCTTTATTAAGTAACACAGGATTGACTGTAAATTCAATTTTTTTTTGACCTGGGGATGTGGACACATCTAACTTTTCACATCTGGGATGTGGAAAGAAAACTTACATGCATTTGACATTGTGTTGTGTTTTGTATTAAATGAGTTTTCATTTCTCTTATGTCAAGACTTGCATAACTGTATTTACGATAAGCTTTAATATTGCTACTCTTTCATATGATTTTTTTCATTTAAATGAAAAGAGTAAGTTAGAAATGAAAGAGAATTTTATTTTAAAATGAAGTTTTAGGGTTGGGTTATACTGTAGTGTTGGAGCTCTTGCATGGATGAGGCCCTGAATTCAATCTCCAGTAATACAAAGAAAATAAACTAATTAAAATGAAAGTTTTAAATTAAAAAGATAGTAAGAGAAAAATTTTGGTAGGTGTCTCTTCCATTCTACCAAGGTAGTTTCAGTGGATTTATTTAGAATAATCTATAGTGGAAACAAAAAGCTTTTCGCTTATTTCTGAAAACTTTTTTTAACCACAGAACTAAATTGTATTTTCTTTTAACATGGGCTAGAAGATATGGCTCCTTGGTGGTCAGACAGTTTTTTCTTTTTTTTTTTTTTTTGTAGGAGTACTGCTATTTATTCAGCCACTGATTAGCTGATTAAATTGGGCATGAACTCCACCTTAATTTTTTAAAATTTTATTTATTTTTTCTTTTTATATTTATTTATTGCATCACTGTGGGAAAAGTAACAAAGCTTCCAGGTTTAAGTCTCGGTCATACAATGATCAAACACCTCTCCCTTCACCAGTACTCATTTTTCACCACCAAGAACCCCAGTATACCCCCCCCTCCCACCCCTCCAAATGCCTGTGAGGCAGTTGGTTTCTACTTAACTCTTCTCTACATTGATTACATTCATTATTTCGACAAAAGATGCACCATTATTGTTTAGAATCCGCCCCCCCAAACAATCAGAATTGCTGAAAAGGCATTGTGAAATATTTTGTTTTTTATAGCTGGTAATGAGAATCATATAATGTCACATGGTCACGGTTTTGAATTTCTGCAAAGAGCCAGATAATTATGAGATTGGTTTCGGTGTGTCTGGTGTTATAGCCGTGCTGGAGAGCCGCTCGTGGGGGGCAACTTGTGACCTCGGTAGGGTGTGAAAGATGAGCTGGTACCTCCCCCCCTTCCATGAGACTGTACTTGCCCTGTCACTGCCAGCTCATACTTGGCTTTCCAGTAAGCTCTGAGGCGGTTGCCACCTTGCTGCCAGGGGGGAAAAGGCGGAAGGGAGCAACACCCTTTCCCTCCCGGGGAGGCATGGTGTCCTAGTTTAACACATGGTCTATTCACTTTTTTTCTGCAAGCTGCTGGGCTCTGGACTAAGTCCTTTTTCCTCTGGAGCCATGGCCGTGCCAGAGAGCCACTTGTGGGGGGCCACTTGTGACCTCGGTAGGGTGTGAAGGATGAGCCGGTACCGTCCCCCTTCCCATGAGACTGCAGTTGCCCCCTCACCACCGGTTCATACCTGGCTTTCCAATAAGCTCTGAGGTGGCGGCCACCTTGTTGCCAGGGGGAAAAAGGTGGAAGGGAGCAGCGCCCTTTCCCTCCCAGGGAGGCATGGCGCCGTAGTTTAACTCATGGTCCATTCACTTTTCTGCTGCAAGATGCCGGGTTCTGGATTAAGTCCTTTTGCCTCTGGAGCCATGGCCATGCCAGAGAGCCGCTTGTGGGGGGGCAACTCGTGACCTCGGTAGGGCGTGAAGGACAAGCCAGTACCGTCTCCCTTCCCATGAGACTGCGATTGCCCTGTCACTGCCGGCTCATACCTGACTTTCCAATAAGCTCTGAGCTGGCGGCCACCTTGTATGCAGTTCAGATGCATTTCTGCCAAAAGCCGCTGGGTTTCAAGATTTGTTTCTGAGTCTCCTATATCATGGCCATTAATCAGCTTGATCAGGAGCCAGAGAGGCCATTTATAGGTGGTGACTCGGGGTCTTGTTGGGATGGGGAGAAAGAGTCGGCTCCACCCCCATGTGGTGAGGCCCCATGTATCTCGTCACTGCAGGCCCAAACCTGACTTTTCAGTGGTCTCTGGAGGATGGTCGTCACCAGGCGGCCAGGGTGGACAGGCCAAGGCACAAAACCTATTCCCACCTGGAGTGGCCCAGCACCAGTAACCTACTGCAGGAACAGGATGCATTTCTGCCAAAAGCCTTTTGGTTCCGAGATTTGCTTCTGAGTCTCTGGGATCATGGCAATTAAGCAGTTCAATCAGGAACCAGAGAGGCCATGCCTCCAATTATTTAAGCCAGAGGTGGTTTGTGGGTGTTTCTCCCACATACCTAACTTTTGGCCGTTTACTTTCTTGGTAAACTTTGACCCAAGTTTTTGGGGTCTGGCCAAAGGCACAGCAGCAATTTTGCGGTATCTGGAAGTCTGAATGTGCCATCAGGCTGCTGATGCACTCACCTCACAGGTACAGATTGACCTGCTGGCGGCACCATACCCCTTAGTTTTTTTTTTTTTAAACACTCATTTGTTTTCATTAAAGATTCTTATTGATAAAAGGCGAAAGATGTATACGATCTGAAGAGAAACCAGAGCCTCACTAATAAAAATAAAAATAAAAAAAATTTTAAAAAGATTCTTATTGGGAGTGGTAGGACACTTGCCTTGCATGCTGCTGACTCAGAGTCAATTCCTGCCATCCCATATGGTCCCCTGAACCTGTTAGAATGATCCCTGAGCTCAGAGGCCAGGAATAACTCCTGAGCATTGCCAGGTTTCTTTCACCTCCTCGCAAATTCTTGTAATCGTCATTTCTGAGACTATTCTGATACCTTTAAACCCATTTGGTATCTTTCTCCAATCTTATCTTACACATACTCCCAATTGATTGACTGCTACTAAGATAGAAAATTTGGGACCATGGGAGAGGTCTCAAAGAGCTGAAGTGAACGCTTTGCATGCGGGGAGCCCCAAGTTTGATCATTGGCATTTCATTTTTCCTGAGCTCTGCCAGGTGTGAACCCCCATCCAAATAACTTTTGGGGCATGAGGAGTTCCATCTCTATTTACTTACAAGTCTATAGGATTTATTTTAACTTACTAATTTATGAAATCATGTCTCAATATTGTTCTCTTTTTGTTGTTTAAAATAATGGGGATGGGGAATGCCATTCCCAGTGGTTCTTAGGGCTTACTCTTGGCTTTGCATTTCTGGTGGGGCTCAGGTTATCTATCATAAGGGGTACCAGGGATCAAACCCGGGTTGGCTGCATGCAAGGAAAGTGCCCTGCCCCTATTCTTCAGGGCGCACACATTCTTTAAATATGATTGGGTAGGGGCCAGAGCAATAGTACAGCGGGTAGGGCATTTGCCTTATGTGCAGCTGATCCGGGTTCAATCCCTGGCATCCCATATGGTCACCAAGCACTGAGTGCATAGCCAGGAGTAACCCCTGAGTATCGCTGGGTGTGATCCAAAAAAGGAATAAAAATGTTTGGGTAGTAAAATTATAGAAACTTATCATTTAATTTGTTTTTAACAAAATAATTTATGGTTTTGTCATAAAATTTTACTTAACATTTTAGCAGTATGTCCCATCCCCAAATATGTTGTGTTTTGTCCTTTGGCTTGTGTTCCGTCCATTATCAATAGTGTCTTGTTTTTGCAAAGTTTAAAATGAGAAATTGCAAAGTTTAAAATTACAAAATAAAACATCCATAGGCAAGGGCAACACCATTTTTGGCAAACACATTTATGCTGGAGATTGAGAAGCAGCAGCATTGCTTAGATATCAAACATTTCCTATACAATATATTTTTTTAAATTCTTGGTTTTGGGGCCATAGTCAGTGCTCTGGTCTTATTTCTGGCTTTGTGCTCGGTGATCCCTGGAGGTTTGGGGCACCATATGGGATGCCAGGGGTCAAACCTGGCTCTCCCACTTCAAGGCAAGCAACCCTGCCCACTGTACTGTCTCTCTGTCCCTGCCTATCTGATATTTTAAAGTTGCTAAATTTCAGCATACTTATTTGCCTTCACTAATGAATTTTGATTTCTTTTTTTAGAAAGGGAGTTCTGGGAATTATGTAACAAGTGTAATTTGATGAGACCAAAGCGTTCCCATCACTGCAGCCGCTGTGGCCACTGTGTTAGGAGAATGGATCATCACTGTCCATGGTAAGAAATTTAAGAAAATTGTAAAAAATGGAGCTGATTACTTAAGTTTCAATCAAAAGTTATTCTATACTGGTTAATAAGTGACTACTAAAGGTACCTTTATTTGGTCATACGGTTCTATTTATTCCCCAACTAACATTTTAAACAATAATTTTTTTTTTGCTTTTTTGGGTCACGCCCAGCGATGCTCAGGGGTTACTCCTGGCTCTACACTCAGGAGTTATTCCTGGCGGTTTTAGGGATCATATGGGATGCCAGGAATTGAACCCAGGTCGGCCACATGCAAGGCAAATGCCCTACCCGCCGTATTATTGCTCTGGCCCCCCGAAGTAATTTTTCATGAGTTATCATAATCTTTTCTGAAACATGTGTGCATACAAAACAAAAAAAAATGTTCATAAGTGTATAAGAATTCTAAAGTGGGCATACTAAATAAGACAATGTATATAAGATAGTGCAGTATCTGACACTTAAAAAGCAATTAAAAATTAAAGTTCCTACTTGTAATAAACTACATATGTTGCTTGGGATGTGTTTCTGTTTTTAGTCACTTAAATAAAAATTAACACAGAAAGATAACCCACATACCCTGATATCTTTCTCCTGCTTAGAACCTCTTAGTATTTGTGTTAACAATAGGAATAACCCTTACATTTATGTCGGGTGTGTCATTGGTGTAGTTAGACGGTTCTACTGAATTGCCAACTTTTTTTGTCAATAGGGGGCTCTCTTGTAATATTTAAAGAAAACATTCAGTTGAAAAATAGAATTCTGAAAACAAATGCTGTGAAAACTCTGCATTGTATCTCATTTCAAAGCTGTCACAAAAATCTGTGAACAAGATATTGTATTTAATTCTGTTTTCCTAGCATGGGATTGCTGTATAAATATTTAAACTGGTATAATGTGGCACTTTATAAATATCTACATACATATATTTATGTTTGTACACACATGCATGCATATATACAAAGTTAATTACACAATGGACTTTGTAAATTCATAGTTGCATTTTTCTAAAGTTGACTCAAGGGTAGAGTTTAGCTTTGCCTTAGACTGTTAATCAATGTAGAGTTTTCCTTATTTTTGGTAACATTTTGATAGCACAAGTTAATATTGGCAAACTTAGTGGAAATTTAGCTTTTATTATAAGAGGACTTTTTGAATAGAATGTAGTTTCTGGAATTAACATTTTGGATAGTATCACTTTGTTACTATATATCATTTTTGATATGTCTAATTCTATTAACAGAATAGTATCATGTACACCTATAGTTGATGTTTTAAAATTGTACCTTGAATTTAAACAGTTTGGTTCATAAGTGATTATTCTAAATATCAAAGATCTGCTTATAGTTGCAATAGAAGTAGAAAGTACTCTTGTGGGGGTTTTGGGGGGCGGGGTTACATCTGGTGATGCTTGGGGGCTGTTCCTAATCACTATATATATATATATATATGTGATTGGAGGGGTCACTCCTAAGGGTGCTTGGGGGACTGTAGTGGGGGGGGCTCAAACCCAGTCCTACATCATACAAAGCCTTTATTTAGCTAGTTGAGCCATCTCCCTGACCCATGCTCAAGTACAATTTTTTTTAAATAGTTAGGTGAAAGTTGTATTTAGGTAAGTGGTGATCACACCGAAAACCCAAATTTTTTATGTTCTTATGAGTAATATTTTTGTTTTTATGAAGCGTCAAGCGTCACTTTTGGTGGCTTGGACCATGCCATGCTGGGGAGCAAATCGAGGGATCCTGTGTGCAAACCATGCATTCCAGTCATTTGTGCCATCTCCCTTGCCCTACAGTAATTTTTTTATTAAAAATATATGTTCTCTTTAGTAATATAAATAAGTTATTGTGGGCCTCCCATAGGGCAGGCTTGAGGGGTGGTTGGGAAAATGGAGTCAATGGTGGAGGGAAGGTGACAGTGGTTGTGGGATTGGTGTTGGAATATTGAAATGCCTGTAACTAATCATCATGAGCAGCTTTGTAAACCACAGTGTTTGAAGTGGAAAATAAATTAAAATAATAAAAATATATGTTTTCACTATTGTTGAAGATCAGTAGTTCCTTTGAAACTAATGCGGTAATCTACTAATCTAAGAATAAAGAAGCTTCCTGCCCTTTTTCCTTTTAAAAAAACAAAAATATATATAAGTAGTCAACTAGGAAATGCTTAGTATTTTAGAGATCATTAATATTATTTTTAAGGACTAAAGACTAAGTTGGTACCTATATATTTTAACATAAATTTTACATTGGGGTGATTCCTTTGTTTCTTGGCCTCTTGCTTCCATAGATTTCATTGGTTTCTTAGAATGATGGTGGAAGCACGAGGGAAAGTAGGTAGGGTTGGAGTATACTCAAAGAGGATAGGCTAGGAGGCTTAATTGATTTGGGAATTAGCATGGTCACTCCCTAAAAGAGCACTTTCTAATAGAGTACGGCAGAGAGATTCTGAGAGTGAAGAGATGTACAATGTAAACTGCCAGCAGAGAATTTCTGATAGACTCACGAATCATATCTTAACTGCCTAACATCACTGTCAGAGATTCTGTGTTTCTGATGCTAAATAGTTTGTTAGGCGAAAATGTCTTACATCTAAATTAAATAGGTTTATTTTCCTTAACGCCCTCTGATTAGGAATGCCAGGAGGAACCCTGTTTCGGTGAGCCCCTCTTGTATAATGAGAAGTTTCCTGCCCTTTTTCCTTTTTGCCTTTTCTAAAAACAAAACAAAACATAAATATATATGTATATATATGTACATGTATATATGCATATACATGTACATATATATATATATATATAGAGAGAGAGAGAGAGAGAGCACCTTAGCACTGTCGTCCCATTGTTCATTGATTTGCTCACGTGAGCACGAGTAACGTCTCCATTGTGAGACTTGTTACTGTGTTTGGCATATCAGATGCGGCACAGGGAGCTTGCCAGGCTCTACCATGTGGGTGGGATGCTCTCGGTAGCTTGCCAGGCTCTCCGAGAGGCACGGAGGAATTGAACTCGGGTCATTGCATGCAAGGCAAATGCTCTACCTGCTGTGCTATGTATGTATGTATGTATATATATATATATATATATACATAAATATATGGGTTTTTTTTCTAAATTGGAGATGGGGGTGGGGGTGAAAATTCCATGATTATCCATGATTATGACAAGTTTTCTTAAAATCAAGTTTTAGGAGCAGGAAGGATGGGATTAGGATGCCCATTTTTTCCAGCAGCATCTTTTGAAGTTTATTTCTGAACTCATACATAAGCATACTTCTTTGAAAACCCTGATTGTAAATAATAAAGCACAGGAAAAATTGTAGTTTAAAACACACGAGCTCTTTCTTAAGCCTAAGACATACCTTTAAATTTTTTTCAGTTCAGTTCTTTATTATACTTTCCAAAAAGTTGTTATAACTTTAAAATAATAATGACAATATACTAATAAAACTGACGAGAGTTGGTGCAGTGGGTAGGGTGCTTGCCTTGCTGACCCACTGTGCTGTCACACTGATGTACACACTCGTAGGGTGTGGCCAACCCGGGTTTGATCCCCGGCATCCCATATGGTTCCCCAAGCACTACCAAGAATCGTTTCCTGAGTGCAGAGCCAAGAGTAACTCCAAAACAAACACAACTGGGGCTGGAGCAGTAGTACAGCGGGTAGGATGTTTGCCTTACACACGGCTGACGTGGGTTCGATTCCCGGCATCTCATATGATCCCCTGAGCACCGCCAGGAGTAATTCCTGCTGAGTGCAAAGCCAGGAGTAACCCCTGTGTATCACCAGGTGTGACCCAAAAAGCCAAAAACAAAAACAAACAATCCCCCCCAATAACTACAAAAACTGACAACATTTTAAAATGCAAACCTTATGCAAAGAAATTAGAAATTTGAAGTAGGAGTTTCTGCTGTATTGTAAAGTGTTTTAAGCTTGTGTGAATAGATTTGGAAGAAGAAAATATTCAGCTTGCATTAACCCTGAAAATTTTGAAATTATAACATTAATCCTTTCTTCCCTAGCTAGGATTCTCCATTGTTTTAGTGTAGCTCCAAGAATTTGTTTGTTTGCAGAAGGAGGATCTGTTGTTTGGATCATATTGATGGTGGCCAGGGCTTACCCATGGTTCCTCCATGCTCAGGAATTTCTCCTGCTGGTGCTCAGGGCACCATACACAGAGGGATTCAAATTAGCTTCAGGCATGTGCAAGGCAACGATCTTATCTTCTTCTTCTTCTTTTTTTTTTTATGAAGTAAAACAGATTTTATTTGGAGGGTTTTTGAAGGTGTGAAGGAGGAGCGAGTGAGAAAGAGAAAGAGTAACACGCTCAAGAGAGAGCATGGTCTTCTCCAAGGGTGGAGAGAGCCCCTTCACACACTCCAGCATTAGATAGGAAAGCATGAAAGTCCACATCTCAAGAGGGGAGATGCGGGCGACACAGGTGCTCAGGCACCTCATGGCTTGACCACATGAACGCAGGCAGCACATGGCAGCAGATGCGCCACATCTTATCTTCTTTACCGTCTTCCTGGCTGTCTCTAAAGGATTTGTAAATCATGTCGATGTACCTTTACGTTCTATATCTAAGGATAAGTTTTAAGTCAGAAAACTAGTAGAGGGCCGGAGCGATATTTCAGTAGATCGGACATTTGCCTTGCACACAGCCAACCTCGGGTAGATCCCCCACATCCCATATGATCCTCTGAGCACTGCCAGGAGTGATTCCTGAGTGCAGAGCCAGGAGTAATCCCTGAGCATTGCCAGATGTGATCCCAAAAGCAAAAAAAAAAAAAATAGTGGATACTTAGCAGTTATGTCAGAGGGGCACATTTATGTGATTTCACTGAATCATTCAGATTATTGCTCTTCATGACTAGAATGTTGTAGTCGTTATACACAGGAGAGGATTTTATTGTCTGGGATATTGTGTTTTCTCACTGTACATACTCTGGCAAAGTGATCCCACTCCTTTGCTTCTGTTTCCCTATCAGTGAAACAGGGAGGCTGACACTTCCTCCCTCACATTGTCAGTTACTGTTAGTTGGAGGGGGATCATCTACACTGGCTTTCTTAGTCAAATAGAAAAAAGTCCTTTACAAATGTGAGGGAGAATTTATGTTTATCTTTTCCTACGTATTCTTTATTTGAATAGCTTTAGCAGAATTTCATGAAATTAAGCATCTATGAAATTGTTTTTAGTTTACCAATTCCCAAATTACAGTCTTCCTACAGCTTAAAATATTGTTTCTTTTTTATTCTTTTCTTTAGGATTAACAATTGTGTTGGTGAAGATAATCATTGGCTTTTTCTGCAGTTGTGTTTCTACACTGAACTTCTTACTTGTTATGCACTGATGTTTTCTTTCTGCCATTATTACTACTTTCTTCCACTGAAAAAGCGTAACTTGGTAAGAAATGTTTATATCCACTAATGTTAGAGCAGCTGTAGCACAATTATTACAGTTAATTAACATACATTGATTCCTTTAAGGGCATAATATTGAAAACAAAACAAAACAAAACAAAAAAATAAACCTCCCACACTGGTGAAAGAATATCTTGGTATTAAGAAAGAAATCTCTCGTTGACATTTTCTTTTAATCAAATCCACTATGATTATATAGGAGTATTACATAACCTTTGAAAAACAGTGTTTTATATACATAGTGCAATATGTATATTTTGTTTTAAAAACATCTAAACATCTGCCATGTTGGAAAAGGGAAACGTGTCTATTTACTATGTATTTTCAGGAATGGTTCTCAAATGGAGAGTACTCAAAAAAAGTACTCAAAAAAAAAAGTACTTCAGAACAAATAAATTCCCCCTCCTTTGATTTCAAAAATAATGACCAGATGCATTTTCAGGATGCACTGTAGCACTGCACTGTCCTCCCGTTATTCATCGATTTGCTCGAGCAGGTCCAGTAATGTCCCCATTGTGAGACTTGTTGTTACTGTGTTTGGCATAGTCATGGGTACCTTGCCGGACTTTGCTGTGCGGGAGAGGTACTCTTGGTAGCTTGCCCGGCTCTCTGAGAGGGATTTTCAGGAAGATTGAAAATTTTTTATATATGTGTATAGATACACACACATATATGTTTATAATTTGTGACATAGATTTCCCATTTATTTTTGGGTGACTTCTCAAGTGGTGCTTGGTAAAGGATGGGACCAAGGGCTACTTCCACCCAGACTCAGTGTAGCATTGGGGGTTTGGCAGTTTAGTGCTTGGAGTAGCAATCCAGACTCAGTGATGCTGCATCCCACCCTTTGAGTGTTCTTCCAGGCCCCACTTTTCTTCTTTATTGTGGAGCTACATTAGATATTAATAAAACTTGCTCAAAATGGTGACAAGTAGTGGTAGTGGTGACAATTATATTATCAGGAATTTTGGAATCTGGCTGTCAACACTGTGCTATGGGTGTCTTGTTCTAACTCTTTCTTTTGTGCTCACAGCAATCATCTAAGATAGATATGATTATCCTCCACTTCATTCCCTCTCCCCTAATACATTCATAGAGGAGGAAACAGGTTATTTTCTGAGGTTAAAGTTACTGAGTTCACAAATCGAGGAAATGATTATTCAACTGGTTTTAGCTTTAGAAATGAACTTGATATCTCCTGCACCTGTGTGCTCGTGTGTGCGTGCATGCGCACATGTGCGCGCATGCGTGTGTGTGTGTGTGTGTGTGTGTGTGTGTGTGTTTCTGACCTTGTTTGTATAATTTCTGTGTAGCTTTGGTATAGGATCCTGATCATGTGTTATCTTTGGGTTTGAATTGTATTTTTAAAACACTTTTTGTATGTGAGTGTGTATATGAGAGAGGGATGGAAGGAGAGCATGAACAATCACAAGAGTAAATGTGAGAAAGCATTATTGGAAAAGAGGTCAGAAAAAGTATAGAGTGACTTATAGAGAAGTTTGGGGGATATTTTAGAACTGTTGTTACTGTGTAAATCCTTTTACTAAAAATAAATTCAGTGATAATACATACAGTTAAATTTTGAAATAGAGGAGAAAGTGAGGAAAATTTTAAGGTTCTATTTAGTTACTTAGATTTTTAAAGTTCTCTATGTTTAGATTTTTTTGAATACTTCATTATTTTATACAATTATTTTATACATTTTTATACATTATTTTATACATTATTTTATACAATTTTATACATTATTTTATACAATTCGTTGCTTGGCTCTGTATGTATTAGTGGGGTTTTGTGGTGAGTGTGCTAATTAACAATTGAGCAATTAAAATTAGGTGTATTTAAAAAAAATAAAAACTTAAAGGCATTTTGACATCTTTACACTGACACTTTAGTGTCTATTAGTAATAGTGTTTTAGAAATATTTCCATTCATTTGTTTCTGGTTTCTATTGTCAGGATTTTTAGTGTATACATTTTTTTTTGGGTCACACCCGGCAATGCACAGGTATTATTCCTGGCTCTGCACTTAGGAATTACTCCTGGCAGGACTCGGGACCATATGAGATGCTGGGAATCGAACCCGGGTCGGCCGTGTGCAAGGCAAGCGCCCTACCCGCTGTGATATCGCTCTAGCCCTAGTGTATAGATTTTTAATGTTGTTGGCCAGATATATTCCTGGATATCTCATTGTTTTTGATGCAGTTATAAATGTTCTAAAAAATTTTCTCTTTTGTTTAGTTCATTGAAATTACATTGACATGCAACTGATTTTTGTATATTGATTTTTTTCCTTCCAGTTTCACATAATCTTATTCTAACAATTTCTTGCTGTGCAGTCTTTATGATTTTCTATATATACTATATCATCTACAAGAGACAGTTTCACTTCTTTTTGGGGGGGGTCACACCCTTGATGCACAGGGGTTACTCCTGGCTCTTCACTCAGGAATTACTCCTGGCAGTGCTTGGGGGACCATATGGGATGCTGGGAATCAAACCGGGTTGGCTGCATGCAAGGCAAGCACCCTACCTGCTATGCTATCACTCCAGTCCCAACAGTTTCACTTCTTCCTGATATGTATGCCTTTTATTTCCTTTTCTTATGTAATTGCTCTGACCAGGACTGTCAAGTCTGTGTTGAATAAGTAGTAGCATAAACAGATATCCTTGTCTTATTGCTGGTATTAAAGGGAAAACTTTTCACTGTTGTATATAATACAATATTTCTGGGGGCTTGTCTTACAGGCCCTTTATTATGTTGAGGTATGCTTCCTCTGTACTCAGGTTATTAAGAACTTTTATCATGAATGAATGAATTTTGTCAAATGATTTTTTTCCAGCCATCTACTGAGATAATCATTATTTTCTTTCATCCATTTTGTTAATGTGACATATCACTTTGATTTTGTAGATATCAAACCATCTTTGCATTCCTGGAATAAATCCCACTTGATTGATCATGGTCTGTGGTCAAACTGTGCAATATTCTGTTGTATTTTTTTTTCATTCCAGTCATCTGTTTTGGGACACTTTGGTTGTTTCCATGACTTGGCTATTGTGTATATTGGTGCAAAGAACAAAGTGCATCTTTTTCATCACCCACATCCCCATTAGCACCCCTCTGTTGTTCTTACAGTGACTAGGGATTACTCACTTGATTGCAATATTCATGCATTTATTTGTAGTGTTTTGTGGGGAGAGTGGGCATCGCATGCCCTATGATGCTTGTACACATTTTGGTTTCAGAGCTTACCAGGAATCACATACTAAAATTTGGTGCCCATGCTTGCACAGTTAGTTGTGGTTTGCTGACGATTACAATAAGTTTCGTTGTGGCACGTTCAGCTTATGGGGTTGTGCTAGGCATTAAGCTTTCAGCCCCATGCCTACACACACACGTACTTCAAAAACATTATTCTTATATTCTTGGGATTGATAGTGAAGAATGAATTTGTGAAGTCACATGGCAGATATGGCAGATATATTTCTGTTATTTTGAGGCACCTCCATATTGTTTTCCATAGAGCCAACAGCATGTTTCCCTTGTCTCTGCACCTGTCGACACGCTATAGTTTCAGGTCTTTTTGGTATCAGTTATTCTCATAGATTTAAGGTTGTAGCTCTTTGTGATTTTATTCATGTTTCTCTGTTAATAAGTGATGATAAACTTTTTATTTTATGTGCCTGTTGGCCATCTGGATGTTGTCTGCAGAGAAGTTTCTATTTCTTTTGATTCTGGGGGTTATTTTTTGTTGCTGTTGTTGAGCTTTCTGAGTGCTCTATATGTCTTTGTTCTTAACTCCTTTCATATGTATGACATACTAATATTTTCTCAGATTCAGTGGAATGACTCTTCACTTTTATTGAAGTTTTTTTTTTTTTTTGCTGTGTAGCAGGGTTTTATTGTTTGTTTGATACAGTCACATTTAAAAAGCTTTTTGCTTTTGTTTCTTTAGTGTTGGAATCAAGTCCTCAAAGATATTACTGAGGCAGTTGTCATGGAATATATTGTGTGTTTTATTTTATATATGTCATGCTTTCAGGTCCCTCCCGATAAAAATTTTTAGCCCTATTTTGTGTTTATTTTCGTGTATAATTGTCTAGTTTCATTCTTTTGCTTGTTGCTGTATAGTTTTCCCAGCAACATATGTTGAAGGGAGTGCTTTTCTCTGTTGTATCCTCTTGATTACATTGTCTAAAATTTACTGTCTATATTTATGTGTGAAATTATTTCTGTGCTCTCCAGTCTGTTCTGTTGATCTGTTTGTCTTATTTTGTTTTCTTCTTCAATGTGATGCAGGTTTGTTTACTATATGTAGTATATTTTGTGCCTGTTAGTGTGATCATTTCCTTTTTTCCCCAAAGATTAATTTGATTATTTAAGATATTTCATGATCTGTAGACACTTTAATGATGTTTTCTAGCCTCAAAGAATGCTAATACAATTTTAATAGAGATTGTATTGATTTATTAATTGTTTGGGGCAATATGGCTACTTTGACCTCATAGAATGATTTTTCTTGTGATCCCTTCATTTTTTGAAAAATTTCTGAAAAATTGTTAATAATATATCTGACCACAGTGATCTTCTTTACATTCTTTTAAAATCACTTATCTGTTACATAGTGGTGCCTTTATTTCTTGCTTGGATCACATTCGTCTGTGGGGTGCCCTGTGCTCCTCGCCCACTTCACCCCCTTCCCTAGTGTTTGGACGTGTTCAGGGGAATTCCTGTCTCTGTTTCAGGATTGAGCCTTAGAGGTGCATGTCTTGAGCCAGTATTGAACTAGGAGGCCAATTGTAATACAGGCGTGCCTAAACCCCTGTACTGACTCTATGGCCTCAGTTTTCTGTGGGGGCTGGAGAGTGGGGTTGTTCCATATGTGCTACTCAAGGGCTGTTCTAAATACTTTATTCCCTTCTGGAAGTGTTGGTGGGGGTGTCTTATATTAGCAGCATGCAAGGCAAATACCTGAACCTC